TTTATTTTGAAAAAAAAAAAAAAAAAAAACTAAAAAAAATTAAAAACTTTACCCTTAAAAATAAAAATAGCTGGTTTTTTTTTGGAAAAGATTCCCCCCCCCCCCCCCCCCCATATCATTTCCTCATTTCTTCATTCTTAGTATTATTAAGGACAAAAATACTGGGATCTGGGATCTGAAAATCCATTTATTTAATCTGGTCATCTGTTGCCACTGTTATGCAAGTGCTTGACTTCCTAATGCAAGATTAACAATTTGTTTGAATATCATATCTAATGGATAGTGAGTTGTTCTACAGAAATTCACAATGAATACAAATGGCAGTATAGACAATTCACAGAATAACTTGAGATAAAATCACCAGTACATCCACTATATCATCACGGCCATAGGAGTCACACATTCAACAGTACTATGTATAAAACTTGAAGAAAAAAAATCGCAATCATATCACATTAACTACAACAAACAACGCTTAAAAAAGTTCTTTAAAAATTGCTTGAAAAAACCCAAAAATAAAAACATGTCTAGTGTGTATTAGTTTGTGTGCCAAAGGGAAGAAATTGCAATTGCTGTGTGTGTGTGTGTGTGTGTGTGTGTGCCAGCACGCATTTTACAGAGGAAGGAGTACAGCATGTATGCTCATGAGACAAAAATTAGCTACTGATAACTTGTCTGAGTCATCTTCAAACATTTTGAATAAAGATGAAATTTCTAGAGTTCAGCTTTCATATCAACATTTGTAGCACACTACTATAAAATTCAAGCACATCTGACTTGATTCATAATAAATGACCTATATAAACTAAATTGTAATACATTTCCTCTCTAAGTTATCTATTATACAAAAGGTTATGGCTACACAGTGGCAACATTTAAGAATTTCTATCTAAAATAAAGGGTTCAAAAATAATATTTTGGACTCCCAAAAAGTTGGAAATCTGCCGACAGTCTGAAAAATCTTGGCCAAAATGAACAGTTATAATCCCTTCAAGTAAGAAAAAGAATCAGCTTTTGAAAGACTATGTTAATATGATATTTATAATCGAGGGCTAAGCCAACCAGTTGCCCAGCAGTCATTATGACAGGATATTTGAGCAGTGGACAGCATAACTTATGGTTAGACGGCTTGTTAAAATTCGTATGACTGAACGGCTTGTTGAAATTCACCCTCAACCCACATCCCTCTTTAAAAATCATTGAAAAAAGTGAACCTAACAAAATCTACTTATCTGACATAAAATGCTTTTAAAGAGCTTTTGAAAAAGAATTATGAGCTGGCCAGAGAAAGAAGTTGTCACAGTCCATTTTCTGTGCATATTTCACCTAAGAGCCATCACCAAGGACTGTCGCCAACAGAAAGCTGCTTCCCACATGATACTGCACGACAGCAAGAAAGGTCTTCATTAAATTTGCAAAACTAAAGCAACAGATTCTGACGCCAATTCAATACGTACCCGGTGCCACCATAATCTCGTGTTTCTTGGATCTAATCCTTACAAAAGACAGATCATTTGCTGGATCTAGGTCTCTGACAGTGTGCCTTGCCTTTCCACATAACGAGGTAACCAAGGTGGCATACTGGACAGTGGTGGAGTTATCAAGTGTGCTCCTGATTGGGATACCTAGAGAATATGAAATAAATAAACAAATAAAAAGCAAAATTTCTTTAAAAATATTTCTTCACCCAATGGCCATATAAGCTGACAGGACTGAGCATAGTTCATCTGTATTCTGAGTGGACCAGCTGAAGTCTCAGAGAAGGAGACGCAGCAGTCAACTATACTTATCTGAAAGTCCAGTAGTACATTTGAATAGTTTATTCCATTATTGCTCATTACCATTTGTAGTCCAAATGAATGTGACAGCTGTTCCTGTCATAATGAGAAATGTGATAGTTGTTCAACTTTATGTTCACTTATTATGCCAATTGTGATAGTTGTCCCTGTTCACTTATTATGCCAATTGTGATAACATGTAGTGGTCCCTTACTACTCTGTTTATTAATGTGAGAAATTACACCAGAGCTGTATAGTTATATAATAAAATGTTGAAAAATGTGAGGTTGACGTGCTGAAAATGGCACTTGAAGTGTAATATAATGATAAAGAAAATTAAGGGTTCTGTCAATTCTACTGGTAATCAGCCTCACTCACTCTTACATGTATTTCATTGCTTTAACTCAGTGTTTTGATTTTGGAACTGTTATGTCCTAACTCTTTTTTTTGTTTTGAGAATTGAGATAATTGTATTGTTTTAAAAGTGGGGGATGATAAAAAATATTGTGTTGCCTTGACACTTAGTGCGTCTTTCATGACATAGAGGTATGCATCTGATGAAATCATAATTTTATCAATGACAGACATGCTGAAACTGTCGGTCCGATCGATCATGACCGAGAAAATTTGTCTGGACCAGTAAAAATCTGGATTTTGTTGGTCCAAAGGACTGACAAGAGTTTTAAGAGCCGCAATTTTGAATTTACAGTCATCATTCCACATACTTCACAAATAAAATTATGTAAAACCCAAAGCCCTTCCATTCCATTTCCCTTCCATTTCAAACCTATCACATTCACAAACAAAATAAGCTCCCCTAATCGTATCTGTCTCATACGAATAGGGTTATTTTCGGTCCTACAAAAATCCATGCAGTCCGACAAATTTTTCATTACTGCCGGTCCAAATGTCTGGCCATTCTGAAAAGTTTTCAGCATGTCTGCAATGAGATGAGCGTTTATTAAGATGAGCTGGGTATTTCAGTAAGTAGTTGAGAAAGTTCTTGGGGGAAGCAGTAGTAGAACTGTAGAAGAGAGATTCAACTGTTCTGAAAGAAAGTAATTGTTAACTTTGGATGTTCTCCGCAGCAGAGAAAAAAGAAATGAGAAGAATGTAATCGTTGTAATTGAGAAGTGACAGCAATAGCCACCAACAAAAGTTATAATGCAGATGAGGAATTGGGACTCATGATATTGTGTTGCCACTTGGTGTTACACTGATGGTAAAACAGCAGCTGGTGAATATTAACTTTGAATTTGAGAGAGACTTAAATCACCTGGACGGCCCATCTTAAAAATCTGGTAGTAATAACAGATAATATCAGTTTTAAAGACTTGAGAATTTACTGCACTAATTTTTCTAAGTATTACCTTCACTGCTGACTACAATAACTCCAATAACTCCCTTGTGTGCCTGGAGCCTCTTTATAGTTTCTTCAATTTCTGCCTGAAATAAGAAAGGGAAAATAAGGCATGAGTCATCTTACCAATTTAGTAACTTTAAGTTTGATAATCCAAATACTTAGCATTCAACTGGTAGCCAACAAAATCACTAACTGGACAAAAAAATTACATGATCAGGATCAACGCACAACAACAAAATCATTATCAGTAACAGTAGTTTATTTTCCATTCTGTGCCAAAAGTTCAATCAGTAAGTTGAAATCAGAGGAACCTATGTCAGCAAAGAGCATAAATTAAAAAAGATGTGGTGCTTTCGTTATTAACAACCTAAAATGAAAAGGGTTGTATTATTTAAGCCAACTAAAACGTGCCAAACTGCCATCAACAGATCTTGTACAGGTGTAGTAAAATTCAGATTTGCCTTATTGTTAAATATGCTTGTCATGGGTGACATGTTTGACTCACCAGAGAGCTGTCTAATATATTAGAATGCACAAAGTCAAGGAAACTTGGAATTATTTTTCCTGATTTAAAAGATGATGATGCCTGGTATATACAGGGTATGTGCTCAAATAAAATATGTATGACATTTTTAGGGGTGCATCTACAAGTTAAATTTAAAAACACTTGATTTTCTTCACTACTCCACTACAGTGCAACTCAAAAATGGACTCTACTGATAACAGTCAAATAAAATGAAACTTTGTTCAAAATTACTTTTAGAAGGGACAGCAAATAATCATTTGAAGTTCAATACAAATTTGAGAGATATGATGACTGAAGTTAGGAGGGTTTAATTTTTATGACTCTTTTTTCAGTCTGGAACCCGCTACTTGCAAAACTGCTACTTTAGAAATGAAAAAAAAATTATGAAGTATGTATCCCCCCAATATATCTGTTTGATTTTCAATATCCATTCCATATTATTAATTTGTGTGGTGACATTGAGCAGTGTCTACACATCCAAGTAATAAGTTTGGCAATTCATTTACTAATTAAAATAATTTAATATGAAGTGTCATGTAATCCAAACATTATGAGAGCTGAGGCCATTGCTGGAGTGAAAATTGCTGTGATCACATTGTTATTGACAAAGAGCTGAAAGGTTTTTAAAAAAGATAAAGCAATATTGCTTAGAAAATCTCCAAACTAATTCATTTAAATAGCAGATGCAATGATCAAAGTCACTACATAACTTACGTTAAAATTAGAGTGTTAAACGGTGGAGAAAACACTGCAAAAGTACCATTCAAACAAGTCTTGTCGCAGTTTGTTTTAAACCATCGTCATTTGTTGTGAATTCGTGCATTCTAGAGCTCATCGCAAAATTAGTCAGAACGACACATAAAGAAAATTTCAGAGGAAGCTAACATAATCTTATTTCAAATGGGTGCATTATATACCAAGGATATTCATCTACACCAAATAAAATTGAATTTTAACCTTCAAAACTCTGAATTTACAAGCACTTACCATTTTGTCAGCGCTGGTAAGATGGCTGTGGTTGCTACGTTCAACTGCGCCTGCGCAAATTGAAAAAAGAATGCGTCATTCAAGATAGACCAAAACAACCCCTATTTGATTATAATTTAGATTATTAGGAAAATATATATGTAGCAATAAAATATCCATTTTACTTTTTCTAATGTTTATTAATTTACACCTTTTAAAACTACATATATGATATATTCGGTATTTTAACAAAACCCTACTTCTGACTTTCTTCGATATGAATTTATGTAGTATCGACCGCTAGCATGTTATCCATTTTAAGCAGGAAAATGACACTATGAGTGTAAAGAATATTTTCACTGCTTTTTATTTACTGAATGGCCTTTTGTGTGGATGTAGGTGTAATGCCCAATTTACTGACATCACAGACGAAGTATTTGGCAAAAGCAAGGATGGGATTCTTGCGGCATTCGGGGATTTTAATGCAGATAAACAGACAGATATATTTCTGATCTCGCCCACAGGTTTGTTTTGTTCCATCCTTGCCCCTGTTTTGGCTTTACATGCTAATTAATTGCAGTAAGTACCTAACGTGTAAATTGTAACTCTAGAAAGTGTAGAAAGTACCCAGTATTTAAGGCCAAAAACTGAGGCGAGTTTCGTCCTATGTTTTTCACTATTTACCGTATACATAATGATGTATAATCATAATAATAATAATACCTATAAGACACCAAGGAAGTAAAAAATGTGATATGCAACTAGATTGGAACTGTGTATTCTTTGAAGGTGCAGCTCTCATTAACAAATTAAATGGAATAAACTACAAACTTAAGAATGAAATAAAATGAAAAATAGGACAGCTATCCTCTTGCTGTCCTAGATGCAAATACCTGAAAATCTTCAAAATGTACTAGCATTAATTTATCAAATCATGCACATGTTACAAAGCTTGTTCTACTTTTGTGAATGATAGTATGTCTTTTTTTTCTGGATTTTTGGATGAATTGTTATCATTTGGTTACTCAGATATATTCCTAAAAGCTGTTGCAAGCATATATATATATATATACTCATATTTTATGATGTTGAACCTTTCAACTCTAGGAAAGAATGTAGACATCCTGTTGGCAGTGGCAAATAAACAGTATGTCCGGGTAGCTGGTGTTGTCACCATTGCTGACACAACAGGCAATATTAGCAGTGTGGTACCAGGAGACTATGATGGTGACTTATATATGGACATCTTAGTGACCATAATGGACAACACTGGCCTTTACACTGTTGAAGTCCACTATGGCTATTACATGGATTTAGACAGGAATTCTCTACAGATTGGTATGTATGTATTATTATTATTATTATAGGTCATGGGTTTTTCCCAGGATTACATTGTGTAATTTCCTACAAAATTTCAGGGAGTCAAAGCCTTCATTTTTAAAAAAAATTAATAAGCTGTCTAGACATCTTTGAAAATATAGGCCACCCAGTGATACCGACAGCCATCCAAATGACGGCTGAAAAGTTGGCTTGGAAAAGTTTTGTGTAGGTGCATATACCCATATTGAACAGTAATGATATGCTAAACCTGTGTATGGTACACATGTATGATGTAGATTTTACCCAGGAATTTAGAAAGCAGTTCTGTAATCTTTGTCTTAGTCTTGACTAGGTATATGGTATGGATGTTATGTGATGGATATTCAGTGCGTTTATGGATACTGTAATTTTTTTTTTTTTTTTTTTTTTTTTTTAGGAATTGATGGGTGTAGCATGTCATACAACAAAATGTGCATTATGTATTGAGTCCGGAGAGTTGGGGGGGGGGGGGCTCTCTGGAATGACACCATTGTAACAGATGTAGAAAATATTGCAAAACACAAAGGTGCAACATGCAAGGCACAATGGTACAAAATTGGTGGCAACTTGTTGTTCTTGTTGGATTTGAATTATACTAGTAGTGCCAGCACACTAAAGACAGTAAAAGGTAAAAGTTCTATATTACTTTTTTTCAGTTGCTGTTTCAAATCTTACAGAAAAGTTACAAGATGAGCCGCTTGTGTTAGAGTAAGTGCCCTCTTAAAATGTCTATTGAATCTCTCTCTCTCTCTCTTTTTTTTTTTTTTTTTTTTGTTATTTTTACATTTATTAAGTTACTGTACAGAATTGCTTGATGATTCTGAAATCTGGTAAATCATAAGGACATGTATGCAGCAAAAGTAATGAGACATATTAATAGAAAAGTTTATATTGTTATCTCAACCTCAGATAATTTTCTTTAAAGTTTAGACAATAAATAATCTTTATATGTTTGAAAATAAAGTTCATTAAGTTTGATATTGGGTTAACTTAACATACCATATACTGTGAGTAAAAGCACTGATTTCATTTCTAATCCTTTGCTTGCTGATATACCCAATTAATGATATTGACCAATTTAAACTTAAAGGGTCAAANTATATTATGAATTATATATAGTTATAATGATTATAGTCCTTCATATCTTCTTCCAGTATGAATGGAGACTTCATACCTGATTTGTTTGGGGTAAATCAGAGAGACCAAAGACAGTACTGGGTGGCTGCCAGGTGTGTCCATTTAAAAATGCCAAGACATCATTATATGTGATGGTATTTGGGAAAAAGAGCTGTTTGTCTTCTGACAGTACTAGCTGTCACCATTTTAAAAATGGTCCTGGAAACAAGGCCTAGATTTCATTTGTTTCCTTTTCTCAACAGGTCTTTATATGGTTCAGTAAAAAGAAATAATAGCTATTATTATTATAAATTCAAATGATTATCCATAAAGATAAAAATAACAAAAGAAAAAAAATTATAATGTTAATAGAGTGCCTGTTATTTAAAGTATAATGAAGTCATGCAAGCCCATGAAGAATGGAATTTATTTTCTTTTAGGAGCTACTTACATTATAAAATTATCAACTTTGTATTTCCAGTAACAAACGGAATTTCACTTCTGTAAATATAACAACTCCAGCAGGACTGAGTGCAATCAGAAACCCACATTCCAATGCTTTTATAGACCTGAATTATGATCTCAGTGCAGGTAATATTACTCATATACTGGGTGACTGAAAAAATATTGCTAATTTTAAAATGCAATTACTTCAACAGTATTGAAGATATTGTGATGGAATTTGGAATATCTTAGGAAAATGATGTCTTTGATGAGTGTTGAAAATTTCATGATTGTACCTTTTTTAATTTTGGCACACCAAAAATAAAATCTTAAGTAAAAAAAAATGGTCTGCCAGACCATGTGACTTCTGACATGTGCCTGTATCTGGCAGTCTAGAGACCTGTCATGTAGTTTTGCTTTGGTAACAGTATCGGAACTGTTTCACTTAAACACTGGAAATTTTATCGTTGACCAACAATAATATATCAGAAATATGTACAATATTTCAATTCAGAAGGTTGTGAACTGTTGAAGTTATTGAACTTGGAAATTTGAAAAAAATTTTGGTCCCCCTTGGTATATCACTCTGAACCCTACTTAGTTACTAGCTCAAACATTTAAACATTGAGGATGAAATTCCTTATGTTGATTGAGGATAAAAAGTTGATTTAGGATGATATTTAATATGAAATGTGATCATCTTTTGTTTTTGATCTTATTTTATGTTGCCACAGTGACTCTAAGAAAATGTACTTTAATATCAAAAACGTGGCATTATACTGTACTGTTATTGAATACTGGTTTAGAATGACCTGAAATGAACAGACAGTGCGTGGTGCTTTTAATTTGATCCAATCACTAATACCCCAGTATATCACCGGTTTGTTTATATTTTTCAGATCTGTTTGTAACTACATCCAATGGAAGTTTTGAATACTGGCTGAATAAAGATGGAGAGTTAACTTACACCAGGACAGTGAGAGCAGGTGCTTTCTCTGGCAGCCAGATGCTTATTGGACAGAGTGTTTTTGGAGATTTTGGTAAGGAAAGATTTGTATATGTTAGACATTCTGTTCAAGACATTGTTTTAGAATTTGCCAGATTGCACAACTCAGCAATTACTTTTAATTACCTTTAATGTTGAACATAATCTTGTATTTAATTTAGTAAGAAAATTTTATGTTTGAGACAAAAATTGGAATTTATGATTATTTATAATGATTTAATGACTGAATCGGTTTGTAGACCTAAAACTTGCTAGAACCTTTTACAAGAGTGATCAATTTCCATTTATTTCTAATTAAATATAGATCTGCAAGAATTTTTTGAAAGGGAAAATTTTATTCTAAATCACACTGCATTCAGCCCATTTGAAAGTGGACATTTTAAGCATTCCTGTTATATTACAAATTGGATCAAAATTCCCTTCCTCTTTATATTACAGATGTGTCTATGCTAAGATAGTTTTATAAATAAATATTCGAGACATTTAATGTTTTAGTAAGATAGTTTTAATTAATAAGCATTTGGTGTAATGAATATTTTAATTTCTTTCAGGTGGCAGAGGAGAGATGGAACATCTTCTGCCTGTATGTTCAGACTCAAATTGTGGAAATAGCCAGATTTTTGTGTTTACCGATGAAAAGGTTGGATGAAAAATGTTTTTCAAAATTTTTATTTTTCATTTTTAGAAGCCCTTTTAAAAGCAAAAAACGGAATATTTTTGAAAGTAAGTTAAAGGTGTGTGGTTTGCAATAATTATGTTCCTTTTTCCTGAAAAGAAAAATTGAACCAAATTTCAACTTCAGTAATCATTTTTTTATCCTTCAGTGGATCAAGTTGCCTGTAAGTTTCAAAGATAATAATGGAGTGATCTGGGGTTTTAAGCCACCAACCAAGAATTCTTACAATAACATCAAGTTACCCGTGTCACTGAGAGTGGGGGACTATGACCATGATGGTTTTCCAGATCTTCTGGCAATTCTTTACTCATCTGGGAGGGAATCTGAGTGAGTTTCTTTTTTTTTTAACTCAGGGTCTGCTGATTTAAGTTAAAACTACAATCAAGCAAGTGCCTTGTGAGCTCTTTTCTATAGCCATTCCCTGCATCTGTGGGGGCTTGATCGTCATTGCCATGTACTTTTAACACTATGTCTTATAACTGCATGTGATTTAAAGCCCTTAAGTACAGGTCAAATTTGACTAGCAACTTTATTGGATTTTTTCCCTTGTTTTTCATTGCTTGAGCAAGTTTGGGCTGCCATTCAGGCATATAGTGCTAAAAACTGAGTATAGTGTAACTATTTTAAATGATTGCATTCAGTGAACAGTTTGCTTATTATTTTACTTCTTAATTTATATAAATGTACTGTAAGTTTGTCTGTTAAATGTAGCAGTTCCTAATATTAATCAAAAGTTATATTTCAAATTTGTGTTTTCATTGTGGCTTGTTTGTCAGACAGTTGATTGCCTTTCCAGGGTATTGCAATCAAGAGTGTTTCTTCTCAATAACATCCCGTGTACATCAGAAGAGTGCCAGGCACTGGGGAGAACATTTCAAGTACAGTGGACACTTGGGCTGGGAGATGTCAACAGCCCTTTAGTAGCTGCATTCTTTGATATATATCAGGAGGTTTGTGACATGCACACATGAACACCCAAGAGAGAAAGAGAGAGAGTATAAAATTGTTTTATAATGATGGTCTGTGAAACTAAAATAATAGTCTAAGATTTATGGTTAAATAGGACTTTTATAAGTTATAAAATGAGAACTCGGTATATATATCAATGAAAAAGAAATGAAAACTAAGGTCATTAGGAATCTGAAAAAACAATGCATTCATCCTCTTCTGGTATAAGATTTCATTCAGCTGAATGGTTGAACATTTTGTTCACATATGTTATGCCATTGTTTTATTTCACAGGGACATTTGGATATAATTGTTTCTAGTCAGACAACCTCTGGTGTAAGGCTTTATGCATTGAAGAATGGCCTTGATTTAGATGCTTGCTTCATAAAAGTTATGGGTAAGATATAAATTGTTATTATTATTATTTAACTATTAAAGATGGCCACTTTATTATATATTATAATTATAAAATTGTTGCCAGATTTGATGTATTGTCTTACACTGATTTACTATGGTATATCATGATTATATTGCATTGCTTGTCACATTTTTTTATTTTAACCAGATTCACTTGGTGCAGTTGTTGTGAAATAAACATTATGTGTATATACATTATAATAATAAAATAGCTTTCACTGTCATGATTTGATAAATTATAGTGTGTTATATCATATATCATATGTTATATCATATGTTTTTATCATATTAATGTTAAGATATTTTGTGTGATATAATTTCAGCCCAATTTATACATATATAACAGCATAAACACAGTCGGGTGACTCTTTTGAAAAGTAAACTGTGTCGATAACCCTGCTCATAAACAAATACTGTTATACTTTTTTTTTACTTTAATTTTCAATTTTGTGGGTAATTTCTATAACTAAGAACAGAGTCAAATTCATAATATATTTTTTGGCTCATTTGATATTGTTATCTACATTAAACAAAAAAATTAAATATTTGATAATGAAAATTTAAATGTTATATTGAAAAACTAAGGAAACCTACCGTGTCTTTCCATGATATCTGCCTTATCTGGTCTTTTAAATTCCACTAACTGAAATAATTTTTACCATTATAATTACAGTGCTAACAGGACAGTGTTATGGCAACTGTACAAATGGAGGGAAAGCTGTAAGTATATTTCAGGGTTTTTTATAACCGTGTATATATTTATATCCAGGCATCATCCAGTAAGTTAAACATTATAAATAAAAATGTTAATTGGTTGCCTGTTATTTGTCGTGTACAAAAGTTCCAATAAAGTTAATTAAAGTAAACACTTTGAAAGTCTGTAGATATTTTGTGTGATATATTTTCAGTCATATGGTGTGAACCAGCCAGGCCCCACCATAGAATACTACAGTACCAGGCCAGATGGTACACCAGAGAGAGGGCTAGGTGAGGGTGTGTGAGTGTGTGTGTGTGTGTTTGACAGGACAATCTTGCTAGTATTCTTATAAGTATTGTCTTTCAGTTATTATATTCTTAACTGTATTATTGTGTTAACTCTCTCTTTTGATTTATAAATTGGGCTAGATATTTGTCTTAACTTAAAAATAAGTGGTTAACCTGGAGTGGTTCTGGTTATTTCAGCTGGCCAGCTGTCGCAGTCTGCCCATTTCTCTCTACAGTTGCCTTACACACTGTTTGGCCTGGCAGAGATGCCAAACTTTGTGGACACATTAGCTGTGGGGATACCACAACCCAAGGGTCAGGTAAGACTGCTCTGTTTGTAGTTCAAATAAATGATTGAATGAGTAATAATAAAATAGATGCTCACCTCAGTGTTTGCCTTTTAGGTAACTTTTTGTGATGGATATACCCCAACCCAAAAGATGGCTTTGACTTTTTATTGCTAATTAAAAACTGTCTTCAGAAAATTAAAATACCTTTTTTTTCATGGTTTACTCCTAAAATTTAATGTCATTTTCATATTTTTCATTCACTCATTATGTTAGATTAATTCTGATTTTCAGTCAGCAAGAAACAAAACTCTTGGCCATCTTAGGCTTTCGAAAGCTTCTTTTATTTTTTAATTTAAATTTGTTTACTTTACTTTTTATGGATTTTAAGATTTGAATGTTTCACCATGACATATATAAGCTGGACAATTTCAATTAATCACTGCTCAAAAGTTGGCTCACACAGATGCTAATTTTCTTAATTTTCTCACAAACTGTAAAAATCCTAACCGTTAATGCTGGTGTTCAATGTGATGATTTTCATTTTGTTGTTGCATTTCACAATTCAGTCCTTTTTAGCCTCTAGGCTTTTCATCTTTAGATATTAAATATAAAAAAATCACTTAAATCACAGATAAAATATTGTATCAAATACATAATAAACAAAACCTATAAACTTCTTGTCCTAAGTTGTACTTTCTGAGACAATGAAAGGCCGTTGTGAGATAAACACAGCGTGATTCTTTCTATGAATAATCACCTCCATTTTAACTATGTTAACATATATGTGTAATTACATGTATGTGTATGTGGTTTGTGTACTAAATGTTATTAAATATGCAACTGCATTTTTCAAAAGAATCATTCAAAAAGTCATTGGAATTAATTTGTATCTATTTGCAGCCTTTACTAAACAGCACCTGGACCTCTGTGATTCCCAACTCCCAGCTAGTGGTGATACCATTCCCCCGGGGTGAACCCAACAGGTAAGATGTCTAAGTGTGTCACAAGTGATTCCCAACTCCCAGCTGGTGGTGATACCATTCCCCTGGGGTGAACCCAACAGGTAAGATGTCTAAGTGTGTCACAAGTGATTCCTAACTCCCAGCTGGTGGTGATACCATTCCCCTGGGGTGAACCCAACAGGTAAGATGTCTAAGTGTGTCACAAGTGATTCCCAACTCCCAGCTGGTGGTGATACCATTCCCCCGGGGTGAACCCAGCAGGTAAGATGTCTAAGTGTGTCACAGGTGATTCCCAACTCCCAGCTAGTGGTGATACCATTCCCCCAGGGTGAACCCAACAGGTAAGATGTCTAAGTGTGTCACAGGCGTCAAGTGGGGTGCTGTTGAAAGTGAATACCACCCTCTCAAGCTTTTGTAATTGCTTATGGCATATATATATATTGACTCAAATCATTGGCTTTTACAGTTAATTCCATGATACGTAGGTCTGACTCACAACAGGTCTGACTGATCGCCATTTGTTTGAATTGTTTCCATAATACAGGCAAATTTTGGTTTTAAGATAATTGTATGTAGCGATTACAACATGCCATGTTTTCTTGAAATGTCACTACAGTAACCTTGATTTCAACATATCAGCAATTCCTTAAGTCATTACTGAAAAACAACACAGGTCAGTCTTGGTATGGTCACTATTTAGTACAGACAACACATGCTAGTTCTCTTCCATCCACATATGGTGGACAGGGGAGGGAACCACACTTAACTTCAGCAGTGTAGAACAAGGCACCATTTTTGTTCTCATGGCCTCCAGCTACCACTTCTGGAGCTTCATCAAGGCAGACAAATTCTGTTCTCTGGAAATTATCATGAGTTGATACCAGGTATCCATTGTACTCTGTTGTCCACCCAACTGGACATGTCTTCTTGGCTGGTATCATCACATGACTGGGGCGTGTTTGGGTGAAGCATACAGCACAGGGGGCATCATGTTGAATAAATCCCTGCAGATCTCCTGTATTGGATGTTGAAAATATGTTAGGATTAACATATTCATATTCCACACCATTTATGTAAGAACCAGTACCTTGCCTTCCATCTTGGTATTTCCCCCACTCTGGTGTCTGTGGCAAACACAGGTAATTACTGCCTCCTCCAGTTTTGTCATGGTCAGTTCCAGCAGATATTCCTGATATAGAATTATAAAAGCCATGTTTAAAGATTTTAATTACTCTTTAACCATAGATGTCAAATATATATATATATATATAATTCAAAAATTTGTATCATTATTATCATTTACATTGTTATAATTATTTTGAATAGCACTTTACCTTTGTACAAAAGCTTTGAATGTGTTGAACAAGTTGTTCTGCCCCAATGTGTGTATACTGCCCCACCATAGCTGGTATTGGCTGGAAGAGCTGAAAACACACATTAAACCTAGAGAAACATATTGGACTGGTATTGCTCATACACCAGATACCATATGAAAACTTACACTTTCAGAACAGACATCTTAATGATCAACTTACTAGTAATGTTGCACAATCTTTATCCAGTTAATAGCTGTCATTTAACTAAAAAAAGTAAAACATTTAAAAAATGGATGAAAATTGAATTCACTAATGAAGTCCTATCAATGCAGTTAAAGTGTAGAAAGTATTCCCAAACTAACAGGAAGACATTCATGTAGTTAAAACACCAGACAAACCTGTAGATGGCACCCCTATCTGAGCTCCAATTTGTCCCAGCATTTGTTTGAGGGTATCCAATGTTAGAGATCCTGGGTCCCCTTTAGGTCCAGGCGGTCCCTTAGAAAATTGAACAAAAATATTAAAATTGATATTAAACAAAGGAACATATATTATTACATGTTTAGTATAAACTGGTGCATTGTCAATATATTTCAAGAAGTGGATGTCTTGGTCTGTAGATTACATTATACTCTAATTTTCAATCAAAATAAATATAAATTTTTATCATAATTTTGAATTACAAAACTACTGAATATATAGCCACCATGCAAAATTTTACCTGTATTCCATCTTTACCATCTCTCCCAGGTTATCCCTGGGGTCCCTGAAAACTGCTCCTTGAGGAGTTGACAACTGAAAAATAAATCTTAGTGATAATAATAATAATTTCTTTGGATAATGATCAAGTCTTCTGGAAATCAATGTATTTCGTAAACACACGTCACTTTGGACAGCTACCTCATCATTCACAAGGCATCATTCAGTCATCACAACTTTGGGCCAAGCATAGCCAAAAGGTGACCTCACCCAAAATCAATAAATGTATAATACTAAGTATAGTACAGGTAAATTGAAATATGAATTAGCATTTCATTTTGCATCTGATATTTTACTGTTACTACTTAGTGATTGTTCTTCATGGTTTTTGTCATATTTAAAAAGAAAGAAAAGGCATCATTTGATAAGACCTTATTTGGTAGCAAAATGTTTTCTGTTTTAAGCTATAATATAGAGAGCAGGCCTACCATTACCTTGTAGTGGTGACTGATATCCAAGCAGTGCAATGATTTGCTTGAGGCTGTCTACTGTTAAACCTGGGTTCTGTGGATTAATTTAAGATATTTGTAATAAAAAACAATGAAGTGTCCACATTCTGTCATTTCCCACAATGAGAACAAAAAAGGATAATGTTGAAATTAAATTATATCTACATAAAAAAATTATATGTGATATTTATTTGGTATTTTTTCACTATCCATTCCAACTTATGTTTGTCACATGTCCATGGCTTTATACTCTAGAAGCAATTTTTAAATATTGTATAATTATTTAAATTATATATGATGGCATACAATTTTATTCAAGAAAGAATTTTTTTCTAAAAGTCATGCAATTTGTCATAAGTGAAGATCAGTAAAGTAACCTGAATTCCATCTCTGCCATCCCTGCCATCTCTTCCTGGGGGTCCCTGGAGTCCTTGTAGACAGCCTGAACTTACCACTAAAATACAGGACACAGTGGTTTGAATTGCTGGTTTTTAACAGGATACAGATGCTGCACATTGATACTCAACCATAAAATGCCTATTGTCACACATAATATTATCTAAAATAAATACATCCTCTTGATATATCTTATTAGGAATTGTATTAAATGTTATTTCAAGACTTCTAACAAATGATAGCTTACAGTTTCCTTGCTGCACTTGTCGCTTGGTAATGGAATGGTTTTCATGGCGAAGATTTGTTGCATTTTGATCAGGGACTGTGATAGTTTGTGCATCAAGCTTCGACTTGATTTTCTGAATATCTGACTAATTTAAAAGATTAGTCGCTTTTTACTATAGATATGTCATTTTCAGTATGTGGAAGTTGTTGAAAATTGGCTGTTAATGATGTTAATTTTTATAATTGATGATAGTTAAGATATACCAACTTATGGGAAATTCACAATGATGGAATTGGACAGAATTTCAAGTGCAAAATACCTTAAGTTGTTCATTTTCCTGCCTCACTGCAGCAACCTCAGCTTTCAGTTTTTTCATCTCTTGTCCCTGCTTGTCCAGTCTTTCAACCAGTTTTATCAACATGGCATTCATGTCATGTTGATGTTGTAAAGTTGAAGCAGAGACAGTGGTAACAAAAATGGCAGTGAATACATGAAAATACATGATGTACACCCGTCTGTAGCAGCCAAGACGCTGACTTGGGTGAGCCCATGAAAACTCTTATCTTGCTTAAGCCATGTGGCCATGTTAAATGTTTGCCAAGTGAGTCTTAGAAAGTTGGTTTTCCACAAATATTTGACTAATGATAGTTAACAGGATGCAGCTTACATTTTGCCTATAAATCATGTGTAACTCTTGATAACCAGTGACACATTCAATCACCAACCTCTTACTCCTGTTTTCCTCAACAATACTCTTAAGCTTGAATGTGCGCCTCCAGGCACTCTTTTCTTGGCATATAGCAGTTCCTCTTTTTATATGTTTAAGTTATTAAGTTACTGGTAAGTAAATTTTCTAGGAACATTGAAAAGTTATGTGTCTTTAGCACTTAACACTACATCTCTCTAATGAAATTAATAATGTATGTGTATATGTAAACTATGTTATGATAAAGTATATTTGTTCATGCTTACATGAGTTGCTTTTTAGTTTCCAATGTACATCATGCAATTTAACAGACTATTAACGACATGCAGATAATGTAACAAACTCAGGTATGATGTTCAAAATTTGGCCGATGATGGCCGCATTTATTGAAAGTCCCAATACTGAAAGAAATGAAGCAGATTAATGATAAACACTGAATAGTGTTGACAAATGACATTTAACATTAATGTGTGCGCCTGAAATATCTACATTTAAAAAATAATTTCCAAAGAAATAGTGCACACATTTCAATTTGTGGGGCATTTGTTTCAGTTCCAAAACATTTTTGAAATATGAATATCTTTGTTAATTTCTGTAGACTACCATTTTTTCATAATGAGTAGTTCATTTAATAACATTTTTTTCTAGATTAAAAGGGTAATATTATATTTCAACAAAAATATTAATAGTTGGAACATCCTATAGCTGGAAAAATTCAATTCTTTCTTCAATTGACTCCACTGTATGATGCCTTTTTTTCTACTAAGTCCAAGACCTTTATCTTTGAGGTCTCATTTAGCTGAGCATCATACATGGCCAAACACAGGCCCCATTCAGAATAGGGGACTAATTAGTCTGAGGGTCAAATATGGCAAACCACAACAAAGCTGCTAACAGACATTAGATAGATGTCCTGTGGGGAAGTATTCAAGTGGGTCAGCCATATTTCACCCTCGGACTAGTTAGTCCACTATTCTGAATGGGACCATAGACCACCTTAACTCAGCCACTTGTACAGAATATTTTATCTTTCCACATGTGAAAGAAATGTAACCTTTGTGTCCTTGCAGATGGAAATACAAGTTATTTGTCACCCCTAGTCGCCTGGTGATGCTGACAGGAGCAGCACTGGCAGGCACATGTGGCTTTATAGCTGGAATAGTGGGTTTACTGCAGTGGAGAGAAAAGGTAATGGGTCAGAATTCTTATTTATATTATTTTATTTATTTTCATTATCAATATTTCACATTTATTTCAATTTATTATAATCAATATGACTGTTCTCTTTTTCTTTGTTTCATGCATTTAGAATTATCATTTGCCTAAATTGCTCTCAAGAGTTCAGGTGTTGCTAATAACATAGGCAACAAAAGAAGGCAATCACGGTTTACAGGTTGATTAAAATTTGGCAAAGTTACTGCTGCTTTGATTTATGACAAACCCATATCAGATTATCTTTGAATTCAAGTCTTGAGTTGTGTTTTTATTTGTAATGATAAAGCATTTTTTCCTTTGGTTAAAAGGTTTATTTTCTAAAGACCATAAGCATTTTTTATGCATGAGTCATTTAGTCTCCTTAAAAATTACATATTTTTACATCGTTTTTACAGATCTAGTTCATCACAATATTTTCATTGTAAAAATAATTATTTCTTTTCAGAGAGAGGATCAGAAAGAAAAAAGACAAGAATCTCACAAATTTCATTTTGATGCCATGTAGCATGTAGAACACCCTTGCCTATGGCTCCTGGTGCTGAGGAACACTGGATATCCAGTTTCACTTTCATTTTAATGCAGTGACTGTAATGTACAGGATATGTAGTTCTATGTGACTATGAAAACATTTTTTCTCTTTCATTTTTATGACATGCCTGCAGTGTAAGGAAGTTGATTTTCATTTAAGCACTCTTTGACACTAAGCTTTTACTGTTAGTAACTAAAAACTATTTCATAATTTAAAAGCTACATACTTTTTAGATACTTCTGGTGTGATAGGTAAAATAAATCTTTAGGAAAGTGTAGTTTTCTCCAAAAAGTCACATAGCTCTTGGCTTCTTTTGTCTTGTTTATTAATTTATTTATTTATGTAGTCTCACATCCATGCTTAGTAAGAAACCGAAGGGAGCAATTGGAGTGACAAATTGGATTAACCTGTAAGGTTGTGAAGTACAAAACTGGAACTACTAATATCACGCCATGCTATTTAAAAAGCAGGGTTCAGTCAAAAAGGGCAAAAACAACAAATAGCTGTTTTCCTTACTTATTTCATATGGGAAATACATGACAGTCTGAGTTATTATTTTGTACAATATCACTAGGAATGTGTGTGTGTGACTGCATGCCTGTATACATGTTTGTGTGTGTGCATATAATCATGGTAGAATGGAAAATTCTTTTAACAATCTTATTTCTTCTGATAATGTTATTTATTATTATTGTAATATTTTTGGTATAATACTGAAAACTTATTTATATTCTGTTGTTTAGATTTTATGCAATGATATGAAGAAAAAAACAGTGAATTTTATACAGATTTGAATTCAAGTGGGAAAGGAATAGTTCACAGGGATGTTTTCAACGTTTGAGACCTAGATTTATAAGCTAGATTAGTTTTTTATATAGAGTAATAATAATTGTTTCAGAAATTTGAACTTTTGATTTTTTTTTCAGCTCAATATAATTATTTTTTCTTTGTCTGCATTACTTAAAAAGAATGTTACCTATAAAAACATTTGACAGATGCTTCACTTAGTTTTATATTATATCAATTGAAAACATGGCTGTATGGACTTTTTAATATTTTTCTTTATTTATTTAGTCTTTTCAATTGGACGTTGGTAAAAAAAAATTTGTCATATATTTTCTTATTTGAACGTTTTCTCTTTTGCCTTGGAGTAAATGTATTTAGTGTAATTTAAGTTTGATATTAATGCTACTTGAATCTCTAACATTTAATTTAGTGACTTTAGAGAAGTCAGCCTAAAGGTGTTTTCTTTATAAAGTACAAATAATCAGTGATAAGTGTTAGTTAATTTGACATATTAAAGCAAAGATCAGATGTACATGTAACCTTTTTCTTTTTACACTAAATTTATTTTCCTTTTTTGTGGATTGAACAATAAACAAAAGAATAAACCATGCTAGTTGTTATACAGGCATTCATTTTCAGAGGTAAAGGATAAAGTTGTTTTAACTTTCCAAAGGGTTGAGCAAAGCAAGAAATTCATGAAATGCAGTTCAAATATCACATAAGTATTATACAGTAAACTCTGTAAACAAGGTTGACTTCTGAACTACCAAAACCATTAATAGACCAAGTTCTATCAAGTTCTTTGTCTCCACTTCATTTTCTTCAGCCCTACCCAGGAAGCATGGGACCAAGGGGAAATCCTCCCAATACCCTGAGCTTTTTTTCTGAAGGCTCACTCACTTGAGCTATATGTACAATGGGTCTTTAACCTGGGTCTCCCACTGAGAGTTGATATGATAAAATTTTATTTATTTAAAGAGATATTACTAGACCTAGCTACAGCTTATGTCACCTTCATTAGTTAGTTTGACACAGTTTGATATGGGACTAATTTCAACTCCTGGTTTTAAATCTAATTTGTCATGAATCTACCCAATCAAGATGCATTGTCCATATTATGAATGACATTAATATAATATCTCTTAGTTAAAGGGATAATAATAACTCTTCGTATGAGATCTATATTTCACAATAAAAACATTGTGAATAACTCATAGAAATATAATATGTTCTGTTTTACCACAAAAACGGCAGTTATATCTATTTTTTTCTGATATCTGAACTTGTCTTCAGACCACGTGACCTCCATTGATGGCTATACTCTGTTAAAATCTCTTAAGAGATTTTAACCAAAAAACAAACTTTTTAGAAAAAAACCAGGGACTAACTTTGAATGTAAAAATGGATTCATTAACCCTAAGTTAGTATGGGAAAATTGTTGTTTACTCCAGGAAAATTCATTTTTTGGCCAAAATGAAGAGTTATTATCACTTAAAGTTTAATTACATTGTGCATTAACCAGAAATTCTGTACTTTTCAGTTATTTATATAATATACAGGCACTTATTCTTATCAAAAGTATGTTTTTTTTTATTTGCCTTCCATAAAAAAAAAACAATTAAGCCATTTGCCTTATAAACTCATCTGCTCTTAAAAACAATTTAAGCTGATAGATATCTGTTTGTGTGAACTACTGGATATAAACCCAAATATAAAAAGAAAAGTATATGTTAATAATTACTTAATTGTCAACATATTCCTTGGAAGTACCACTTTAAATTTAACATGGGCAGTTTGTATGGTCACTTGAAAATTATTTAGAGCAGATAACACATGCCAGTTCTCTTCCATCCACATATGGTGGACAGGGGAGGGTACCACACTTAGGCTTCGTTCACATGCAATGTCTATTTTCTAAATTCTATTTTCTATTTGCGGCATGTCTTATGATCACAGTCTGTGCACTGAATATCCCGCCGCGTAATTACTGGCAGCGCGAGCCAGTTACTATAAGTTACTATAAGTTACTATAAGACCGTGATCATAAGATAGCATGTTTGGGTGTGGCATACAGCACAGGGGGCATCATGTTGTTGAAAAATTTGACCTCCTGTATGGGTTGTTGAAAAAATGTTTGAGTAAATACTCTCATATTCCACACCATTTATGTAAGAACCAACGTTGAATATGAGAGGATTTACTCTAACATATTTTCAACAACCAATACAGGAGGTCAGAATTTTTATAACCATGATGCCCCCTGTGCTGTATGCCACACCCAAACACGCCCCAGTCATGTGATGATACCAGCCAAGAAGACATGTCCAGCTGGGTGGACAACAGAGTACAATGGATACCTGGTATCAGCTCTTGACTCACTGCATAGAACAGAGTTTGTCTGCCTTGATGAAGCTCCAGAGGTGGAAGTTGGGGGTCATGAGGACAAAGATGGTGCCTTGATGTATACCGCTGAGGTTATATGTGGTACCCTCCCCTGTCCACCATATGTGGATGGAAGAGAACTGGCCTGTGTTGTCTGTACTAAATAGTGAGCATGACTGTAATGACCCTTGTTGATTCTTCAAAATAGTAGTATAAAATTAATGGTCTGTGAAAATCATTTTATGAAGTGACCTTATGAACTGCTTACATTGAATTTAGAGTGGTACGTGTTTCCAAGAAATATGGTGAGAGAAGTAATCGTTAAAATATACATTTCGGTTTTATATTTGGCTTCATATCTAGTACTTCACGCTAATAGATATTTATATACAAAAAGTGATTTCAACAGCAAATTAGTTAATAAGGCAAAAGGCTTGGAGAGATTTGTGTTTGTATAGTACAGTATATAAATAAGTTTACTACATAAAGTACAGCAATTTCTGGTAATTTTCATTGAATTTATCTAGCCGGGGGGGGGGGGGGGGGGGGGTTCGGGGGGTTCGAAATAACTGCTCCTTTTGTCAGGAAAAGGTCTATTTCGGGTAAAATTTTATCAAGGTACACACAAGTTTCATTGTAAAAGGTCCACTTTTTAAGAAAAGACCCCCCCTCTCCGCCGTTTGAATTTTCTGGCTACGGGCCTGCATGTATCTATCTATCTCCTATTACGCCGTCGGGTGTCTAGGGCATCAACAAAGGTCCATATAAGTCGACATGACTCTGGGGGCTCAGCACATTGAGTAGTGTTGAATATCTTTGTTGCTGTTTCCTTAACTGTAACGGTTTTCTGGGGTGGGGTTGTTGGTCCCACGCCCAACCCCAGACCAGGAGGGCCAGGTTTTTTTTTTTCTTTTGTCAGGGATTTCCTTCCCTTAGTCACTGATTCAAGTTTTCAGGTGCCCGACACTGGCCTTTTACCGCTGCCCGTCAGCTTCAACATTTCCAGGGCCAGCATGTGGAGGCGAGACATTCAACTACCCGGTAGCTTGGCAGAGCCTGATTGAGACGGTGGACATGACTGAGTTTTGTTGAGTGCTATTTAGTATCAGCTAGTACATAGCTCCCCTCGGTGTCCATTTGCCAACCGTTTGACCCCTTAATTGAATTTAACTAAGAGATAAAAAGGTCTGTTAATACCATATTAAATATGAACAACACATGTTGATTGGACTAGTTTTATTTATAACCTTGACTGCATATTAAACTGTGTCAAACAAACTGAAAAAGGTAACATGAGTTGCAGCTCGGTCAAGTAATATATCTCTTTATATATACAACATACATTTATTATCATATCAACTGTCAGTCTGAGACAAAGATCAAAACTAAAGGCCAATTGTATATATAATACTTACAATTAATGGTGTACACCACGACCAAGTTAATATTTCTCTTTGTACAGTGTACATGCTGCTGTTATTACAGTAGTAACATCAACTTTACAACATCATGCTGATGTCAATAATGATGCTTTGATGAAACTGGTTGAAAGAGTGGACAGACAAGAACTAGAGATTAAAAATCTCATTAGAAAACTTAACAGACAAGAACAAAAAATGAAAAAAACTGAGGCTGAGGTTGCTGCAGTCAGACTGGGCTTTGAATTTTAATTGTCTCTTGGCATGATTGTGGTTTTTACCAATAATTATCTTAAATGTCAATGAATAGTTAAACAATAATTAACAATCTAAGTTCTACAATTCCCATGACTTAAAAAGCACATATCTGTAGACCAATTAAAACTATAATTAATTTTTCTTTCACTTTCAAATTAGTCAAATATTCAGAAAGACAAGGTGAAGCTTGATGGGCAAACCGCCATGGCTGCTGAAAAATATAGAACAAAGTTTCACCATGGAAAGCATTGATTCAACGTTGATCCACCAAAATTAACATTGATTCAACGGTGAATCAATGTCATTTGTCTGCTGGGAGTACCTTGTCCTCCATCTTGGTATTTCCCCCACTCTGGTGTCTGTGGCATACACAGGTAATTATACTGCCTCCTCCAGTTTGGGTCCAGTAAGTTCCAGCAGATATCCCTGAAAAAGTCCATGAATTTTTCATACATTATCATAAGGGCCAAAATTGAAAAGAAAACAAACTTTAGTACAAGTAAATTACTTATCTTTGTACACATCATCTTTAGAAAAGGCATGTGTTTCAAGTATTTACCTGCATACAAAAGCTGTAAATGTGCTGCACAGGTTGTCCTGCCCTATTGTGTGTAAACTGCTCCACCTTGGCTGGTTTTGGCCTATAGACCTGAAAACATACATTAAACCTATGAACCAAATTGTAAACACTGCTCCAACTCCAATCTTGTGGACCCTGAGGACCTTGTGGTCGGCAAAGACTGCC